AACAAATTTTGATGGAACACGTCTGGAGGGCGAATGGAGTCGTGTGGCAGTCGGCCGAACTGCCGCGCAGCCACCACCACCACCAACTGATGTTCACGTCGATAGCAACAATGTATTGCACTGGTCACCACCAAATAGTACGAACGGAGCCCCGATCACGGAGTATATCGTCGAGAGAGTGCTCATTCGTCCTTCCTCCGTGTAAGTTCCTGAAGAAGCCCAGTCCTCGAAACCGAGGCGTGTGGTTTTCTGAATTTCAACTTCCTTCCCTCCTCCCTCACTCTCCTCTTTAACTCACTGTTCCGCACTTTTTCTTTCGTAAGGGAGCAGCTAACCCATTCCTTACATTCTTTCTGCAAATTTTCAAGAGTAACATGGGAAAGGATTAGGTTTTTAACAGGATGAGAGGACGAAAGAGAGGATGGGGAAGGGAAATGACCATCTTTCATACTTCGGAGACGCTCGAATTGTCGCTAGAAATTTGCTTGAATTTTTGGTACGATAAGGAGAAACTCCAAAAAAAAAAATCGTGAAATGCAAAATTCATACAGGGAGGCATAAGACATTTATCTTTAAAGGGCACAAATTTAGTCAGAAAGGTCTTGAAATTCAACAGAAAATTGTTTAACTGCTCCAAAAGCGATTGAATGGGTGCGGAAGCGTCAGTGCCCTTGTTAACTAAATAGGACAAGAATCAGCAAGGGAAACAATGTTCCGAATTCCAGATCAAAGTCAACAGTCCAGTACCTCTTGCTGTACTTATAGTGTGTGTGAGAAGCGGAGGTACTCGGAAGTAGCTTAAATGTACCTGCTAACACTAAAATTGTCGATAACTTCATTTTTTGAGGACTGTTAGTGGTTTTGGCCTCAATCTAATTTACTGCCGAAAGAATGAACGAATTGTAGAGGGCCTGATTGTTTCTTGTCTGACGGAGCTGTATCTCTGATTTTTGGCACAAGAGACGCGCTTTTTCTGTGCTTTGTCGTTCCCACCAGCTGGCAGCAAGTAGGACATATTTTATGCGACTTACGGACCCTTTTTTTCGTAATTGACTGTGCAACTGGCTTTAGCATACACTTTACAGTCGTGGACGGGCATAACTGGTAGTTTATTCATACAAAATATGGTTATAGTTTTTTATAGTTTAAGAAAATATAGGGCAATTTCAGGCCTGTGCCTGAGAATGATGGCGATCAGGCAACGAGCGCCGATTGCGGCTGGACGATGAAGCGGGAAAGCGCCGAGGTGCACAGCATGAGCGTGGCTGAGGGACAACCCGGTTGCAAGTATCAGCTCAGTGTTTTGGCGGTGAGCAGTGGCGGTACGAGTGTTCCAAGCGAATGTATCTATCTTTCAATTCCACCTCGGCCACCTGCTCCTCCTCCCTCATTCCACACTCTTGCACAAGGTTATTTCGTACTTTTTTTCCAGTGCATTTTTGCATGAATCATCACGAAAATTCATTCGAAGAACAAGCCTGGATGTACATATTTGTTTGCGTGTGTCTGTATGTGTGCGTGTGTGTGTGTGTGTGTGTGTTTATCCGTTCGTCTGTCGCAATGATTCATCCAAAATCGCGAAACGAAACAAAGTCAGCTTCCACTTTGGTGCCCCTCATAGCATTCACCAAATATGATCCCGCGAGAAATTGTCGCAAAAACCGGCCTTTGATATGCGTCGCTTCTAATTAAAAATCTGTCGTGAGCAGAATGGCTACAGTGCCATCTGTGTCGATAGCGAGAACCTAATCAGATGCATAGTTAA